AATCATGGTCTTGTTGGCGACTTCTTTTTCTTTTCTTTTGCCAGAAGACAATTTCACAACTTCCAACACGGCCGAGACTTCATTGACCACAACGACTATTCGTTTTAGTTTGGCCGCCCATAATACTATGAATTATTTGTCTCTCGTAGTTCGTCTTTCTATGCGTTCCGTCTTAATATTAGACGCATAACATGAAAAACGCTTCGTCCAAAAAAGTAAAACCCAATAAAATAATTGTCATTTCCCAATTTATACTTAATGGTTAAATAACAGATCAACTAATAATCAATTGCCGAGCCCGAAAGATCTTCAACCAAGAAATATACTTAAAAAATATCATCAATATTAGACAATCATCCAGAATCATTGACAATTAGCCAGCTGGACGTATTTTGATTGAGGACATTAATCAAGGATTAATTCTACGTGGTTTCTAGTCTTAATGTTGATTAGGTTCGTAGTTTCCAGTCATTAGTCATAACGTTCACAGGAGGGTAAATTATAGAAAATTGACTCCAAATAAGGAGAGAATATAAGAATACTACAGAGCCTTTACGGGGATCAGGTAAACTTTATTGTGACCCAACCAAAATCATCCCATTCCCTCCATCCCCCCCTGCGATAAATAATGACCGGTACCTTGTAATGTCATTTACAGGATCCATTCAAGCTATAGTTTATCCAAGTATAATCTCTACTCCACAAAAGCCAACAAAAGCCTTCACTGGCGAGACTGTGTCATTTAAGTGGCACTATAATTCAGGAGATCTAAAGAATAATCTTTTCGAGGTGGTATTTGGTATTTGGAAGAGTCCTGGCTTCCTTAAAACAAAGTTGATAGCTGTCAACTCGAGTGGTTTTGCTTCAACGAGGTCTTCATATAAGTCATCTATGGGTTGGGCAGGAAATTTGACATCCTCTGTCGCAGTGTTTGAACTTTATAATGTAAAACTAAAAGATAGCAAGAAGTATGGAATAGTGGTGGAATATGGTCTCCAGCATTCCCCGTTGACCGACACAGTTCAGCTTCAAGTTAAGTCCAGACGTAAGTAATATCGTTGAAGACAGCTCGGACTATGTTGGCACTGACTCAAAATTAAAATTTTGGTTGCTGTGATTATGGCACATCTGTAGGTTATAAGACGGAGTCCGCTGAAAAGAGGCACATGCATGTCTCTTCAATGAAGGCAACAATTGACAAGGTTAGAGGATCATTGTTTTGTTCTGTCGGGATCAAAGTTGGAGTTCCTTGACCGGAGGGGTCCCTGAATTATCAAAAGAAATCGATAAAGGTAATTTCTAGTTACATCTAGTTACTGGGAGATTGATCCAGATAAATTTGTTTGCAGCCATGCTTGGTCTACCGAGAATCACGAATGTCAGTAAACCGGCGCCGCTCAGGAAAGGACAGAACGTGAACCTTACATGTATTGCCCAAAGCTTGTCTCCTGTTCAAGTCATGTGGAAAAGAAATGACAAAGTATTAGTCAGCGGTACTTCTCAAGCCATACTGACCTTAAGAAATATTACAGCTGAGGACTGCGGCGATTATGTTTCTGTCGCTAAAAACACCGCCGGAGAAGATACTAGGACTGTTATCCTACTAGGTAAATGGTTTCACATATGCTTGTCAGACGAAGTTTCTTAAGGTGTTTCCTCAATAAAAAAAAGTTATCGAACAATTTTTTTTAAACTTTAGGTAAGTCATCGTGCTTGTTTAGGAGATATATGCCTCAGGTACTGGCACCAATCGCACGCGTCATTTCACAGGTTTATGGTATATATGGTGCAGCTGGAAGGAAGGGTTTTTAAAGTAACACTTGAAAAAACTTGATAGGTAGAAATTCTCGAGCGTATGGAACAATTTGGTTTATAATTTGTGGGGAAAATCAAGCCAATTTAAACGATATTGACCCAAAACGTTCCACGAGTCGTTCCTTTCAAGTTCATAATTTGTAATGGGCTTCGAGCACGCTTTTAGCTTTGTCTTTTTTTCCGTTCGAAGTTTTTTTTTTTAATTTCCCTGATTTAAAAGGGATAATTTTTTCATCAAAATTATGCAATAAAAATATAGGTCACCTTCCTCGTTCAAGAGCCGAAGACCATCGTACCTCTTTACCTGGTCTGTGGATTGAAAAACAATACCGTGTTCTCGGAATGCGCGCGCGCTCATTCCCCTAATTACATGATTTTTATGCGCAATACAGGATGCGCAGTGCAATACTGGGGAATCACCTTAAAATGAAGCTTCGAGCGTTAGCCCTTCGTCAGAGCCCTTCGTTCTGACTCTCGAAAGGTCAGCTTCAGAAACTCCTTATACGATGGCTCATCTATATGGCATTATCAACTCAATTGATGAAACCAAATTGTATTGTCAAATCCCTAACTGACGCAGCACCACAGTTTCTTTAGAAACTTATCCCCTTTAACGCAAGATAAACTGGCTACCACTGATCTTGTTCAAAGAATTTCCCCATAAATGATTCTTGTTATGTCAACTTTGCATTCCGTTCAGTGCTCAAATATGGATCCTAAAATTCCTTCTCATTGATCACCTGACGAGCTAATGAATACACCTTTGGCCGTAGCCCTTCATTCTATTTCCCCTAAAGAACTAAATTTTCCTGCTTGACACAGTACTTCCGGAAAGCCCGACTATACTGAATTCAGACAAAATAGTGACCAGTCCCAACTGGACGCTACGATGGTCAGCGGCTAAAAGTGAAGGAGAGCTGCAGGTGACGTATACAGTTTGGCAAAAACGTGAGGGTGAAGAATCATGGCA